TATGAAATGTTAAAGTTCTACCCAAAGTTGTGGCAATTTAGTCAAATTATATCAGGCACTCTAAGTAGAAAGATTGCAGGACGGAGCCCCAAAGACTTTGTTTTATAGTAAGGAAATAGGAAATGGGGCCCCAGAGAACATAAATGACTTGGTCAAGTTCATTGAGCAAATTAGTGTATTTGGACCAGAACTTAGTTTTCTCATCTCACATTTTGTGTGCTTACCCACCACAGTACCTGCATCAGGCCAATTAAAAAAAAAAAAGGGAATGGTGGTGGGGGATTCCTTTCACCTATTCTGATTTTACAGTTTAGCACTGAATTTGCCCTATATTAGTGAGAAATAGCTAACTGTATGTATTCTAAATAGGCAGCTTTTCCTTATGGATTCGACACAGTGGCCATATGTGTTTTGGAGGGAAGAGGATTGTTTGGGTTACATTGTGTTTTCAAAAAGATACGTTAGAACCAGGTTGGTGATATATGCCTGTAATCCAATTTACTTGAGAGGCTGAAGCAGGAGGATCCAAAATTTGAGCTTAGTCTGGGTAATTTAGCAAGACCCTGTCTCAAAACTGAAAATAATTTTAAGGATTGGGGATGTGGTTCAGTGGTAGAATAGCCCTGGGTTTAATTCCCAGTACCTCTAAACATCAAAAACAAAAGCAAAAAAAATTTCTCTCTCATATATTGCAATATATATTATATAAATTATATATTATTAAATATATAATTTATAATATATAACTTGTATAATTTTATAATTTTACTTAAAATATAATTTATAATATATAATTTATATATAAACACAAATACATATAAATATCATATAAAATATAAATTATATATTATATATATTTTATATGACATATGACTATATATTATATTATATATATATATATATATTATATTTAACACTCAAATATCTCAGAATGGGATCTTATTTGGAAATGTGACCTTATTTGGAAATAAATGTTCACTGAATATGTAATTGCTTCTTATGAGGTCATACTGGAGTAGGGTGACCCTTCATCTAATGTACTGGTGTCCTTTCAAGAAGAGACACAACAGAATGTCATATGGAGAGACAGAGACACACAGGGAAAAGATGGCCATGAGACAAAGGAGGCAGAGACTGGAATTTTTTGCAACTTCACGCCAAGGAATGCCAGATTTCCATCACTACCAGAAGCTGGAAGAGGCAAGGAAAGATTTTCTCTTCATGTTTCAGAAAGATAAATGTCCTTACCAACATCTTGATTTTGGGACTCTGGTCTCCAGAACTGTGATATGAATACATTTCTATTGTTTTAAACCAGCTCCTTTGTGGTGCTTTGTTTCAGCAGTCTTTGTAAGTAGGAAATTAACCTGGGGGCAGTGAAAGAAGAGACTTTATAAGGAATTTTCTTGCTCAGTCTGCTGAAACAAGGAAGTCGGCTCCAGATATAAAAGCTCAACAGCCTGAGGCATTTGACCAGTGCTTCTCTATACAGCATGTATTCCTGTGGCAGCTCCTCACAAAGATTTTCTACAGTTGGCTCTCCAGATTGGGGGGAGGCCAGAGGGAGGGGAACATTTTCTCCTCTGTCCCTGTAATTTTGGAATTAACAAACTGGAGAAGAAAAAAATGTGCTTTTGTTCTTTTCAATTCTGTGTTATGTTCTTGTTGGCAACGAGCAAACAGTTTGCATGATGCATGTGCTGTATCATAGCTTCCTGTTATTATTCTAAACATATTGAATACTACTTTTTGGGATTTTGAGTTGTCCAGCTGTCTAGATTACAAAAGTGTGCTTTGCATTAAGGAGGTGGAAATGTGGATTTCCTTAATAGAATAAGCTAGAAACTGGCTGTTTATTCTGTCAATTTGTATTTCTATCATTATTTTAGTTAATTCATTTGATAAAAATTATCTGTTAAGTACAAATTCACATACACATATATATGTATTTACATTATATATATGTATTTACATTACCACAAATGTAAATATATATACTACACACACATATACATGTTAACAGATATGTACATGTTAACACATGTGTGTGTGTGTGTATCTGTGTGTATCTATCTATCTATCTATAAATATATAAATATTTACATTTTGGGCACCAGGATTGAACTCAGAGGTGCTCTAACCATTAAGGAACACCACCTCACAGCCCTTTTATTAAATTTTGCAACAGGGTCTTGCTAAATTGCCCAGGCAGGCTTTGAACTTGCAATCCTCTTGCATTAGTGTCCCGAGTAGCTGGGATTATAGGTGTGCACGTAGCACCCAGCTAAATTCCTATATTCTGTAAGGATCAGACTTCTTTTGGCAAAAACATCACATCTTCTAAAATAATCACAGTGTAAAACTTTGACTCTTAGTATTTGTATCATCACTAGATCTATGAGTTGGTAAAATAAACATTTTATAAAGTTAAAAATTAAGACACTGGGCTGGGGTTTTGGCTCAGTGGCAGAGCGTTTGCCTAGCATGTGTGAGGTACTGGGTTCAATTCTCAGCACCACATATAAATAAATAAAATTAATATTTAAGAAAAGTAAATACTATTTAAAAAAATTAAGACAGTTTATTTGAATCTCTCACATTCTTCAGTTCACTGCTGAGACTGTTTTGTGCAACTAGTAAACAGACCTCTAAACTATATAAAATGATGTTCTGATTATCTTAACTTTATTAATGTTCCCAGAGACCTACCATTGACGGAAGTAACAATCATTCTGTTTGGATAAGAAATTGGTTATAAAAAACCTTGCATTTAGAAGTAGAATAAATCTGTTTCCAGTTAGAATTAGCCATGCTATACCAGAAATTCTTAATATGAATATCATATTTAATCTTGAATCATAGTAGGATATATATAGATCACATTATATGTATATATGTTAAAAAGTAAGGATATATATATTATTATATAAAAAAGAATGTATGTATATATGGATGTGTATGTAACACATATTTTAAAAACATGTAAATACTAGATACTACTCCTAAACAATCTAATTTGTGGTGGTTGTTTTTTGCTCTGTATGACTAACTTGACATTACTTGTATAAGTTTGTGTCTATAAAACAGGTTTGAAAACGTTTTAACATTTCCCTTTACGTTTAGCTTTGTGCTGACCAATAATGATGCTGTGTTCATTCCCAGGTAGGCATACTTTTGAATTTTCAAACCATAAATTATCTTAAATTTGAAGTTGCTGTTCATATCATTATTTTTCTAACTTTTTTGGTAAAAGAGTGCAGATTGCATTTCTCAAAAATAAAAATAAATTTTCTTTTATACATAAAAATTTTCACGAGTTGAAACATTTTTTTCTCCTCTCTGTATTGATTTGAAAATCAGGTAGAAGGAAAGGCAAAATACTGCATTACTATCTTGCAAGTTTTAGAAAATGCTGATTGTTGACATAGGAATTTCAAAATTATAATTGCCTACTATCTCAAGGATTATGAAATTCTTGGAATCATTTGAGTAGGTAGATTTTGGTCAATATTCTGGGGTAGACCTTGATATTCTGCTTTCCTAAGGAGTTTTCAGGGCATGTTGTTCCTGGTTTAAACACTACTGGATATAGGAAGAAAGTATCGACCACTGTTCTTTTTGGAAATAGAAGTAAATTGGGAAATCCATTCTATATGGTATGAAACATGAACAGGTATCAACAAATCAGGATCTCCACAATTTGGGGATTTTCGGGATTCCAGATGGTATTTGTCTGTGGGCTGTAAGAACTGGGGTCCCTTTTTCTGGTCATTTAACATAAAAGCAGATATGAATAAGGGGTCAACACTAAAAAGTTAATCTTAACATAGATGAAAGACGAGAGTATGTCCCCAGAGCCCTATATGGATTCCTGGATCCAGATGTGTTTAAAATGTCATCCCTGAAATTATTAGTTTATACATTGTCTTACTGAAGCTAGTCTAAATTTCTTCCTCCTACAACAGAAGTTGTCATTAATATACTAAGTTCAGCCACTTAATAAATTATGACAAGTGGTTTGATAAGTATAGTTAACATAAAACAAAGATGAGATAACTCAGATGCCATTATGTTCCAATGCTAACTTAGAAGCTAAGTGGTGAATTTCCAAATGTTACAATGATATAGAGTATTATTTCCTTATAAATTAATATTTTTAAAAAGTAAACACTATAAGATGTACAAACTGGAGCTGGAGTTGTGGCTCAGCAGTAGAGTGCTCACTTAGCATGTTCCAGGTGCTGGGATTGATGCTCAGCACCACATAAAAATAAATAAAGGTATTGTGTAAAAATAAGAAGTCAACTTGTACATCTTTGTCAATGCCCCATCTAATTACTGAGCGCAGAACCTAGGTTTCCCTTTCTCATCCTGTAGTCACTTTTATTCCTTATTATACTAATACCTGTGTATATCATTTAGTTGAGTGAACAAGGCTGATAGCACCTCTGAAAAATTGATTATAAAAAAATACAAAACGTATGTGTAAATGTCTATTTGTAATATACTTTCTGTGAAAATACATTTGGAAGTATTGGGAGAATCCCACAGCAAGTTACATAAACAACTTCATAATTCGTGAATGCATGTAAAACACTGCAGACAATATCTGTTTCCCAAAACTTCAAGTTAGCAATCTCCATGAAATTCATTACTATTTTAAAAATTTAGAAAAATTGATTTTTTTCAACAGGTTGCTCTTTTGAAACAGTGACTGACAAGCATCATAGTGGGAGAAAATTAATATCTGAAAATAAAATCTCCTGGTTAGATTTGGTTCTTATTTAAGAATGAAAATTATGTACATACATCTTACACATTTTATAAAAAGCTTCTATAGTGTTATAAGTAAAACAATGATTAGTATAAAAATTCCTTTCAGTTCTTTCTTTAGCTCAGATATAGAAATAATTCTTAGAATAGCTGATATTAATAGTGTTTGCACGTATAGACGTATAGTGTTACTAAAACGATCAAGAGTCAAATAAATCTCCAAACAATTATACAAAAAAGAAAAAAAAAACACTTTTATTTTCCACAAGGAAGAGCAATAGGAAAAATTAAATCATTTCCCACATAGTTTTCTTAAAACAGAGCCTACAAGGACATATTCAGCACCAAATAAAAAAAGAAAAAAGAGAATTACAAACAGCCATAGAATATAATCTATAAAGCAAACATTTAATATTGCACTTTGTTTTGCTAACATTTTGGATTTTACTTTTCCCAATTGAAAAATCAGGAATCTATCTTGAATACTGGAATACAACTGTGAACCTCACATCTTATATTAGGAATTGACCAATATTTAGGGGGGAAAAAAAAAGTAATGCCTCTGAATGACAGGGAGACAAACTTTAATGGGAAAATAAAACTTTATTTGATAAAGCTTTATAAACTCAAAATTTTATCACATCTTGTGATCCTGTGCCAATTATCACAATATTGGTCATTCTTGCTTCTTGTGTTACTTGTGAGAGTACGTGGTAATAAGTATTCCAATGCTATGCATATCAACAATTGTTCCCTAGTCAGTCATACATAAGAGAGAAAACAAAAAGGATTTTCTGACAACCCCCTCCCCCCAAACAAAAAGAAAACCACCAAATGCCCTTTATGCCAAATATTCCACTAGCTTCTTTTGAGGGGGACATTCACAAAATGATTTAACAACAGTAAAAAAATATTTCACCCCCATTTCCTTATTATCTAGTATTTGTTTGCTACGGGAGCCCAAACCCTTTAACCGAATCACTTAAAACGCGATTCATTTTTACACTGGGCTTTCTTCACCCTGTCAGCATTATTTCAAACATGAATTGTCTTCCATGTTTTCTTAAAGGCCACTTATGGAAAAGCCTATTTGTTTTGTATGAAGCTTTAAGACAGTATTTAACCAAGCACCAAGCCAGAGTTACTATTATTTTCAGCCACTTTATTAATTGTGGGGTTAAATGGTAAGATATATATACCCATTTCACACGTATGTTGCAATATGAGATGCTGATTTTCATGAAAAACATCACAGCTGAATTCCTTCTTTAAAAAAAATTCAGTACACTTAGTACCTCAGATTACGGTTTTAAATATTATCATGAATGCTGGTATATGTTATGATCCAACTGTAAATTACTTAATAAAACCTAGGATTTACTGATGTGATTGCTCTTTTCTCTCTATATACTCATCAGAATAACTTTTCATATTTAGCAAATTGTTTTTTAGATAATGGAAAAAAAAAATCATCCCAGCAAACATTCTAGTGTTTTTAATTGTGAAGTTATACACTTTTAGAATAAACTTGGGTTTTTATACTGTCAACTTGACCAGGATAACAAATGTATAAATTGAACTCTAATCATATATATATATATGTGTGTGTGTGTGTGTGTGTGTGAGATATATACACACACATATATATATCCTCATTAAAATACTTTGCATCGGCAAAAATGATTTCCAACATATGTGTTTTGGAGGTAATTAAGTAACTCTGTATAAAAATAAATGTACTTTTCCCTCCTCTCCCCAGTGGCTGGAAAATTTCCACTATTTTTAAAATAATAATAAAAATACTAATTTTTAAGAGCAACAGCCCTTAACTCTTTGCTGGTACCTGCCATACTGCCTTTCTATACTCCATTCTTAACTCTGCTAGTTTCTTCTTGTATGTAATGACAAAAAGGGGATGTGGGTGGGTTATCACTTTTGTGTATGTCCCGTTTCCAAATTTCCCTCTCCAAAAAGCCAACCAAATAAACAACAACAACAAAAAAAAACTCAACAGTGCAACAAAACACAAATAGCATTCCAACAGTTTGGCAAGTGATGCGTTCACCTGAGATTAAGTGATTTTAGGCAGTCAGTAACAAAATGCTGCTTTGCTGTAATAGTAGAAAGGCAACAAATTCTCAAAAGAAATCAAGAAGTTCTACAATCTTGACAGGTCTCTTATTAGCTTCCTCCTCTTATCTCTTTTTCCCCACATATCTGTTGCGTATCTACTACAGTAGGCTGCAAAACATACAGCAAAAAGGATTGGCTTGAAGGCATTTGATGTTTGTAAATAAATCCACAATAGGATCCAAGCTGAAGAGGTGATACATGGTCAGCCTAGTAGGACAATTCTGAGCATGTGCATACGCAGGTAAAGTCCAGGCTATATTAAATAAAAAAAAAAAAAAGTCAGTGCGTTTTTTCATGTTAAAGTTTTTTTTCAAAGCTTTCTTTTGTTCCTTGTTGTGCAGACCACAACAAGTTTTAAAAGAGTATCAAGAGTCTGGCTTAAATGGAAAAAAAAAAAGCTGTAGTGACACTGAACTGCACAATGTAAGCATTGAGCATGTGCAAATTTTCAAATCAAAAGAAGGAAATCATCCCTCTTTACAACATGGTGTCTTGACACGTATGACCATAGGCTAAAGATGACTGCTCTTAGTATGTGCCAGTTTTAAAGAAGAAAAGCTTAGATCTTCAAGCATATTGGAGCAGTCCCAGAATGTTGCTGTAGGCTTCTGAAGCATGATCACTCGTTGTTTCATGTATTTGCCATTTTTCTGGGCAAAAGCAATTCCACTTCCTCTGAAAACGTGTCTCCAAGATACTTCTCTGTCCTCAGCCGGAAGAGATACAGTTCGGAACCCACATCAACTTGATTTAACCAAGTGTTCCTTCAACGAGAGGGGCAGGATGGTCTATCATCTGAAGTCTGATCGGGATTTGGATCAATCTAGAAAACAATGGGAAACATTTACTGTTATTTGATGAGCTATCTTAAGTTCATTCTAAAAAAAGGAGGAGGCAGAATTTTATGAAGAATTAGTTACAAGCGAATTAGATTGTCATTCTTCTAAAATATTTCCCCGGACAGCCAGGAATCCTCAAATCAAGCCACAAATGACTGACTTGCCTAGTAAGACTGAAATGTCAGAATGAAAGTGTATTACCATGATCTGAACACATGGCAGAACATTTTTAGCATCTAAAGAAATTCTAATGCACTAGAATAATAGGATAGGAAAAAAAATACATCCAATTAAAAAGTTTGAAGAACAGATTCTGAATATCCTATTATCATTGAATGAAGAGGATCACTTATTACACCCAAAGGAAAATGACTCTTTCAATTAAGGCACTCAGAAAAAAAAAAGAGTACTAAGAGTAAAAACAATTCATGTCTAAATTTAAGAGTATAAAATATTATATAATATTTCATTATAAAACAATGGTGTGAACTCCAGTAATCCAAAGAACAAGCTAAGTCTTGTGATTTACAACATTATTTTGGATATCTAGACCAATCTTAGAGGTACTAAAAATGTGGACCATAGGCACATTTTCCCGTCATTTTGAAAAATCCTAAAATTGGATTTGTTCCTTACATCCTTCCCTTTATCCACTGTTCTTCCTATGTAACTGGACTCTCCCACCTTTTGGGGACCACTCACCCTCAAGAAACAGCCTAACAGTAACTTTTCTCTAAGAAGCCTCCCTAATTCTCAAGGCCCAAGAAGCTGCTCCTGAGTTGTTTATTCCTAACATTGCTAATATAATATTTGGTTCCAAGTTTTTTTTCTCACTATTCTATGAACTTATTCCCATTAAGCACAAAGCTTATTCATGTTCACTGCTTAACTGCCATCAAGATGAGGTAGATAAAAATAGTATACCAGTGTAGGAATTCTGTTTAAGTATTTTGAAATATACTACTTTACCCTATAACAAATGTCAAAATATACAAGAATTAAATTGTAGGAACATGAGGAGTAAGATAAATTCTCATATTCAATTAATGCTTGTAAAATGCCACTTTTTCTATTGATGCTTGAAATACAAAATTACCCCCAAAACAAAAAATGAATTCAATGAGGGTAAGATCATTATCTTATTTTTCCAAATAAAAAGTGAATAGTCATAAGTACTTCTGTGTCAAACTTAGTAAATTCAACAACCCTAATAACTTTTAATCTCCTGTTCTAAATTATTTGTTCTTTGATTATCATGATAATCAAAACCTATTTTTTAAACTCTGCAATACTAAATCCAGCCCATTTCATACTCAAGTTGATGCTCTTACCTCTGAATAAAGAGGTGGAGGCAGGAACCGAAACTCCTGGATATATGCAAACAGTGGTCCTTGAAGCGCTCTCTCAAAATCATCACAAGCACTCATAGGTGCAAGATTATTCCGCCTTTGTTCCTCTGTTACCACTTCTGCATAACTGGGTGGTGCTGAAGGAAAAAGATACACGCAATTCGAACAGCATGTTCTTATGCATGTCAAAATACACAGAATAGTAGGTATTAAAAAAGAATGTCAAAGCAAAATAATAATTTTTTGGTAATTAAAGCTAGGGAGACATCAGTTTAAATTTAACATTAGGGGTACATACATCTACTCTTTAAAGAAAGATTAAGATTTATCTAGGGTCATAAAATAACAAAAGCAAAATGAAGTTCTTACTACTATTACTACTACACACTATTACTACTACTAATCGGTTAAACTTAGATGGGCATTATTACCTTCAGGTCTTTCAGGAAGAGATAAACCAAGCCAGTTCATATTCATGCTACACTGACTGCTTACACTTGAGGTTCTGCTGCCAAATGGATGCAGAGGAATGGTACCGATGACAAGTGGCAAATTAAGAAACAAATCCATAGCTCCAGGAATATCCACGTATACCTAAATATTGAAAAGAGATATTAAGTTTAGAATAACAAATGTGATTTCACAAATAACCCAGTTTTAATATTATTAGAGGTTCCCGCTCCCTTTTCAGTTTTTCTACATATTTGTATGTATGAAATATAAAAATCAAATCCTAGGCCAGTAGTGGTGGTGCATGCCTAATATTCCTATCTATTTGAGGCAGAGGGATTACAAGTTTGAGGCTAACCAGAGCAACTTAGCTAGACTTTGTCTTAAAAAAATAAAAAAAAATTTAAAAAGGCTGGTATGGATACAGCTCAAAGGTAGATTGCCTCTGGGTTCAACACCCAATACAGCACACACGTGCACACAAAAAATCAAATCAAATTCTAGATCTAAGATAAAATTATTTCTACATAACTTTATAATTTTTTAAAAAAGCCCTCCTCTTAAAATCTAGACTTACCATTAGTGAATATTCCACACGAATTATACTACAATCGAGGATAGAGGGTGAAACTGGTGGAATTTTCAGCAACTTGCCATTCCACGTCTCTGTCTTTCCAGATGATAAGGATTCCCCACGCAAATTAGCCACAAGCTGTTTCACTTCCTTCATTTTCCCTTTGGCATAGAAGGCCTGTGTTTGGTAAATGGCTGCCTTTGGCACCACCATTCGGGAAGAGCAGTTCTCAATCTCAGCAAATATCTGAATTGATTCACCTAGAGAAAGAGGGAAAAAAAAAAAAAACAACGTAATGTAGACTCAATGTTAGAAGGTTTAACATGGATGAAGAACTGTCCTTGGAGTAAGCAAGTAACTTAAAATTCATGAAAATGACTGACTCATTCACACAGTAGCTGTATGAAAGGGATTACTTTCTAATTTGTGAAAAGAAACTAGGTAAGTGCAATTTCTGTCATTTTACAGAATACTGATGTGATGTTTCTATTTGACACCAATACTATAAGTTTACACATAATAGCTAGGTGAAAAAAGATCACTTTCTGTGGGGATCAAGCTCATACATACCTGGGGTATAGCCCTTCCTTTCAATTTTGGCACTTAAGGATATTGGGCCTGAGGTACAGAACCAGCAACAGAGAGTCTTTTCTTTTGTGCCTGCTTGGGGTGACTGTAAGAAACAAATTGAGAAAAAAAATCAATGTATGAAATGGCAAAATAACAAAATATTTGAAAATACAATCCTAATTCTTGGAGAATTTAACAACTAATAGTGTCACTTTGTTATTGCTTTTTTTCCATGCACCCAAATGTACTTTTTTCTCTCCTGGCTTCTGCATATACCATTACTTTTGTCTTTAAACAAATTTCTATCAAATTAAATGAAAAAAGGGCAAAAGGCTTAATTAACATAGTATCCCATAGCTTTAGCCCATCTATTTACATATACAGTAATTTAAAACATCTAACCAAACAAAAAAACCCTTTCCAAATTTTATTTAAACTACCTTAAGGAAAAGCAGCACAGAAAGGAACTTGGTTATAATCCAAATGTTAACATCTTTCTTTGAGAATGTAAAAATCATATGCAAAAAAGGGGAAACTGCCATTTTTAAGGATTATTCTTGTTTGCTTTAAAGATGTTATCATTTGCTAAAAACCAAAGTTTTTGAAGTCAAATTTGAATTAATCTCATAAAAATGCCATTAAAAGACTCATTTTAAGCAGGAATTAAGTTTTTTCAAGAAAGTGATAATTCCCCATCATTTGACAACTATCCCTAATTGGAATGATTCAATATAAGTACAAATTTTAGATTATGATATTTCCAATTATGTAATATTATAATTAATGACATCACTGTTCCTCTTCCACTAAAAATTATCCAGGGAACAGATTTATTTCATACAACATATTGGTCTTACTTCTAAATTTACTTTAAGTTATTATAGTATAAAAATATGAGCATATTCTTCATCAGTTTGTATCCTCTTGTATTTAAAAATATACATATGTATGAAATTTAAAAATGAAGTTATTTTAAAGTTATAAAAATTCCGTACTTCAGGTGATCATTATTTAGTATTTATATGTCAAGACAAAGAATGAATAATTCAGTCAATTCTTACCAGTAATGAAGGAGTGTTGATATCTATATGCTCAAAGACTGTAAATTCCTTCTTTAATTTTACTGGTAGAAGCCAAGGCCTGTGCAATTCGGCTTTCACCCAATAGCGCACACTGCCATGTCGGCCTTCGAATGAGGTAGCAAGTGGTCTGTGCAGAATATAAAGTGAATATATTAATCTTATACCTCTTTCTAAGAATTATACAGTAGGTCAGAATAGAAGTGTTAATACATTGTACTGTTTATGTACCAATGAGGTATAAAATCCATGATTTAAAAAAATTTCCAAAGGGATAAGTCACTGGGGAAAAAAACTTTTATTTCCAAATAACAATGGATAATAGCTAAATATCATGGAAATTTCTGCCTTAAAAAGCCAGAAGAATAACAATCCCTTTAAACTAAAAAGAGGCTACTTTTAATGCTAGTGGCAAAATTATGAAAGTATGATAAACAATTCTTGCAAAGGTCAAGAGTTTAAAAATAAAGTTAAGAATGGCTTAACTATTTCTATTGAGCAATTCTAGACACTAAACATTCAGACCAAATTCCCTATAGTTCTCCATTTCTCATTAGCAAGAAATTATTTTACCTCTTTTTATAGCAACTCATTAAGGTCCAAGAAAATGCCTAGAATAGTCCTTATAGTTTCAAAAATTTCAGATTTCATAAAGTCCACAGAAGTCTGAAAAACTGCTTTCACATAATATGTTCTAATTCTTCTTTATTTCCTAACTTTACTATCTAAGGTTTAAAAAAATTCATATCAAAATAAGGACTGTTTCTGAACTCTGCCAATTTTCAGGTTTTATTAAAAATACACAATATTTAATTATTTATAAGATAGAGTGTTAGCTTTGACTGGTAGATGCATTTCACTTTTTTTTTTTACATTTTAGACTATCACATTAACATATAATGGAGCAATAAAATACAGTATTTCTAAATTTTATACTTCATGCTGGTCTTCTAGAGTTTATGTTAAATGACTGGTTTACAAATAGAGTATTTAAATATAATAGTCTGAAAAACATTTATGAATGCTACATTTAACAACTCAAATACTAGAATTAAGAAAATACAGAATTATGTTCACCTGGCACTTGATAAACGCTTATGTAATCTAAATTTATCCTCCAGAATAATCAGTACAAGTGCCAGTTTTCAGGTTTTAAGCTCTGTTAAAAGGTGTTAATAAAAAAAAAATAATAATCTTTCTCAATAATTTGTTATTAAAGTATACTAGATTCCAAGCTTTATATTAAAGTATTCTGATAGCTATTTCAAGTGCAGGTCATAATATCTTATGTGACCTTCTTAACAGCTCTCTGGATGGAAGCTAATGAATGTGTATATAAATATCACTACTGAAGTTAGGCTATTCCTTTTTATTTTTACCTTCCAAATTTACTGAACCTAGGGTCTCAACCACTCTGGGCAAGTGCTCTACATCCCCAGCCCTAAACCAAGTATTTATAAACTGCTTACTATTTGATTGGTATCTTCCATTCACTCTCATTAAATGGAATACTATTCATGTTTTAAAAACCTCACAAACATTGGTACAGAATACTAATAATTCTGCTTGCTTTCTATAATTTTGCCACAGACTAAAAAAATAGCTTCTTATGTTTAATATATTGTTTTCCTCTAGCCAGTTTTTGTAATGAAAAGGGTTTTTTTTTAAAAATAAAAATAAATTAAAAATATTTAATTTTAAGACTGCTTTTGACAATGAATGTCTATAAAAAATGCCTATTACTTATAAATACTTACGTCTGTGGAAGCTCGAAGCTGAATGCATATTCATGTCTTCCTGAATGTATAGTATTGAAGCCTTCTTCGGAATTATCATCATCTAAAACAAAAAACGAAAGCTTATAATTAAATGTTTAACACAACTCAAGGTGGTACAACTTTAAAGATGCTCATAAGATAATTAAGGCCATAAGCTTTGGAATCTTGAGTTCTAATTCACTCCACTTCTCTGGATAAAATAAAAATCCTTCACTTTCATCTGTCCTGTTAAGGGGGATAATAAACAAATACTTGTACCCTATAGGCTTTTTTTTTTTTTTTAAATGACCCAAACTGCAAAGCATCCTTGTCTAGTACAGCATATGCTAAACAATAGGTTCAAGTTTCAATCATAGTTACCTTTGTTGCCAACTGTTTTAAAATATTAAGACTATAATATATAAAATGAAAAAGACTGTTCATGTAAAATTTTAAAGTATGTCAGTTGGAGGGAATACTACTGACATTACAGAATGGAATATACATATCACAACTCCCAAACCACTAGAAAAGTATCAAAAATGTTGGAGTTTTAAAAAATGATTTTAATGCTGGTTTCATAGCTGAAAATAATTCCATATTGATCTAGACTGATCACAATACTCAACACTCATGTTGTCTTACTCCTAGCAATAGCTTAAATCTCATGTACACAAAGTATACTTTATTTCATCACAAAGGACAGGACTTAAAAAGATGCCTTCCAACAAGGAAACAAAATTGTTCAATATCCTTGAAAAATGAAGTATAATTAGGTACTTTCCAGTTGTTAGAATAAGGAATGACCTTTCATTTTATAATCAATTTCTTTAGGTCAAATGCATTATGTCTTAAGTGGCATGAAGAAATATATTACTGAAAAATGTGGGAGAGGTTTTCAATTATTAAAACAGTACTTTTAGCCTCGACTAGGTAATACAATTACACAATGTATTTTCTGGATGGAGAAACCTTTATAATTAGCTACCAGAGCAAGGAAAAACTGGACTATTATTTAACTTTTCTTCACCAAAGTATTACATAGACACAAAAATGTGATGCTTCCCTTATATCAAAGGGATGGGAGGAAAAGCACCTACACATCGATTTTTCATCCGAAATCACTGGGACTCGCTTATGTCTACAGATTATTTCCCTTGTTCCCTGGGTAAATTCCCCTGAACAGATCTCAGCACTGAAAACTAGCTGGGGAGTTGGGGGTCTTTGAGATAACGTTCTCCGTGAAAGGCTCCCAAAGTTTGCCTTCCTCTGTCTTTCTTCCCTTCTTGCTTCCTTTTTGTGCCAGCTCAGCAGTCTCATTGAGGCGAGCCACGGCGGGCCGCGCCGTGGTAAACAAGTGCCTGGCTGTCAATCAAGAACTAGACCGGAGCAGGAGAGGACCGGCCTAAACCGGCGCGAGCAGATCCCAGCCGGCCCGCCCGCGCGCCTCCGCAGCACGCGCGCTCCGCTATACATACGGCATACGTCGCGCGGCGCTCGCGCCCGTGCCCGCGCAGCCTAGCCTGCTGGATAGGGGGCGGGGCGACTGCGGCGCGGCGCTTCCGCTTTACACGCCCCAGCCGGTGACCGGTTCGATCTGGCTTGGGCCACCCTGACACCTTTACAGTAAAGGCAAGGGAAAACTGGGTGGTGAAGGGGAGGGAGCCACGGTTTAGGGGAACAAAGGGATAAGGGGCAAGAGATATTCCCCTAAGGCCCTACACAGATTTCGATGTTTGAAATACTTTCCCCTCTCCTGGACAGCCACTGACATCCCCCCCAGGTCAAATTAGGGTAGCCTGTTTGGGGACCGGACAGGTGTGCAAACACGCTTTGTTTGCGCTAAGAAAACAAGCATTTACAGACCCATTTCACCCAGGAAAATGGGGTCTTGCTCTTTTTCCTAACCCAAGTCCCTCTTAACGGGGTTTTCAGCTAAAGTTGCGCCCAAGGCCATTTGGCACCTGTAAGGCCGGTGGGAGCTTCTGCATCTGAAATGTTAATCGGTTTTTTTTCGGGGGGTGGGGGGGTGTCCCAAGCAAGCTGCCATAAAGGACAACAGGACACAGTATGACATGAGCACCGGGCGCCAAAAGCAGCCCGAGAACGAAGGCGAACACGAGAGGAGGCGGCTGCTCTGGAGGGACCTTTACCGGCGCACGCCGGTTCCAAGCCTCGCCCCAGACACCGCGAGCCCACTCTCCCCACCCGCTTGTGCCCAATCCAATCAGCGCCTGGCATCGCCTTAGCAACAGGCTAACAAACCCGACTCCGCCTATCACTGGGAGACTGGGGCGGGTCTCAGTTACCAGGCTAGTTTGAGAGCTCCCAGTTTTAAGTCATTGAAACTATTCCTGGCTAAGATCATGTCCACGCGTTGCAGGGGTTGGGGGGCATCTCGTGGGGGTGCGGGGCAGATAGTTTTCTTTACCATGAAACCATTATGAAATTAGTAAAATTAAGTTTTTCCTACAAATCACTGTTCTATTTTTTTTTCCATTGCAAGTCTCAACTCCTTAAAAGAAAAATCTTTGTTTCTTCTCACCCATTTTATACAAGGCTGCAATTTCCAGAAAGGTTCAAACACAAACTCATGTGTCCACTTTTTAACAAATGCCAGGACTGTCATTAGGCATTTGCATTACTTATTGGTGTTATCCTTGTGAGATTAACTTGAAATTATTACAGGATGCAAAGTACCTTGTAACTATGAAAATTCTAAACTGAATTCACCTTTAAAATTTCACAATAATGCATTTAATGCTGTAAGCATCCTTCATTTCTCACTTGCCTTAGCACTCTACCAGGACATACATTTTTAATAAAATAAAGAAGGTAAAAATATGCCTCTCTCCTTTCTGTAAAATCGTCAAGACTTGAACTAAATGCTGCATTAAAAAAGAGAAGCACAAAAATTACATAACCAGTTTTAACATTATATTCTTCTTGGGCTAGGAATTAAGTCATCGCCACCACCTGACGCGTGTAACCAATCTGCTGAGAGCAGAAGAAGCGCCCCTCCTCACCACCCCCCAGAACTGGTCCGAAACAGGATTGAACCGCTTCTAACAAAGGGTGGAAACTTAGAAAAACAAGCTTAGAGTCTCCTATATTTCCACAATGTAACCATCTAAACAATAGATTGGAAATCTCAGGACCCCTTCTCCCTTTGACAACCCTTTATCTCCCTCTTATAACCAAAAATCAAATCCAACGTGCATATACTTTTCAATTCCATCTAACTGGCATGGGTTTCATTGAATGCACGTTCCGAAGTTAGACATGATGCTTGGAAAAGAAAATTACTGACCCTGAATGGCTTCGTATACTGACCTAATCCCTACTATAATGTCAGATACTATCCTTTAAAATGAGAATGCTTGGTGTAAATTTCTGAAGGAATTGGAGAGAATAGGGAAAAAAACACGTGGGGTGTTGATAACCATATGTCAAAATAAGCCAGGGCAACCCTTTATCAAAGAACAATGATCAAGTCTTTAAAAGTCTTTTGCATGTCAATATTGAAATGAAACACATCTACTGACCTTCTTAAAAATGTTATTTCACTTCTTCACTGAAGATCAGTTTTTAGATCTAAGGTTGTAAAGTAAAAGAAAAAAACAATCTAATATTGTGCTGCAGCTTTTTGCAATTCAATTGAAAACATATTAGTAAAATTATTGAACCGGATTTAAGCTGAATTTCTAAGTAAGATGCAAATGGATTACAAGTGCGTATGGCAGAGGCACAGACCAAGCTGGGTATAGAGGTAGTTGAATAAGTGCAGTTTGCAGTCACTTTGCAGATGCCTGCATGCATTACGGCTTAACACATGAAGAACGTCAAGGAGAATCAAAATCTTCCAACTTTGCTAATCTTTATCAAACTGCTGTTACGCTAAAAGAACCACATTAAATGAGAAAACCGAAAAGGTACTTTTCCCCAAAAAATTAGTCTAATGACTTACATAAAAACTTACCTCTTTCGTGCCCAATTAGGATGTCTTTATGGTTGAAATATTCTACTTCTTCAGTGTAATTCTGTGTATAGGCAGTATTGGAGCCGGCGTTTCTAGATTCAGTCCAGCGTACTTTCGCATGTCCTCTTGCATGAATTTTAAGAGATTTTACTCTGATTTCTCCAGTAACTTCTAAATTCACCCTTCCTGAGACAGTATCCCCACTAGAATACACAGGGACATTGCTGTCATTAAGACAGTCAAAGCTTATTGTCAAACTCTTCACCTTTCCCAGCACCATGATTATAACAAAATCTATAAAAATATAATGTAAGACAAAAAAAAAGTCAAGATCGCATATAAAATGTGATCTTCACTTAACACTGATCAATGTCTTTGCCATGCAAAAACCATGCAGGCAGGATCAGTGATTCTTCACAAATAGTTCATTGAGATTTCTTAAAAAGTCAGGGCAGCAGAGAGGCTGCTGCTCCGCGCTCCTGCTCGTCTCAGTGGTCTCCTTACAAAGACGGGCGGCTGGAGCCTGCCAGCTCACTTTAAGAGCAGCTTTGTGAAAAACAACCCCAGTGCGCACGCGCACGCCGCGGCTGCGGTCCGCCCTCCCTGCGCGCCCCCACCCGGGCCGGCACGCTCGCTCCCTGGCTCGCACGCTCGCTCGCGGGTACAGTAGGTGCAGAGCTTGGCGAAGGAGACAGTGGCGCTGCCGGGAGGCAGAACCTGACTTCTCTTCATTGTGGGCTCCTATTGGTAGGCAGGCTACCGTAAACCCTCGACATGCTATCTGGAACCCTTTACCGAGCACACTCTAATAGAAAGATAATGGTGGAGCGGCCGGGAAGCGACTAGGGCTGGGTGGGGAACTGTTTGCACAGCCAAGTAAGGCTAAACTGCTGAGTGACCAGCCCGAAGCGTGCGTTACCGGCACTGCAGGGTTTTACCAGCTGCCTGGATCGGAGGAGGAAAAAGTGTTGTGTGAAGAGGGGTGGGGGAAGGGGAGAAACCGGTTGGGCAAGCGGCTGGTTGCTGAGTTTAAGCTAACGAATTTCAAAAGAAAACGTAATAAAAGCCAGGCAAATATTATTCATAGACAAGAGCATTCTTGACTAAGGTTTTTCTTTTTCTTAAAAACAACAATAACAACAGAACTTTGCAGGCAGGATCGAAATGAACTCAGCAGAGGCCAAAGAAGCCTTAAAACAGAATACTCCAAAAGAAGAGAAACTACAATCAGATCAATAGGCTTTGCTTTTTCTCTTAATTGCCTTCTCCATCCTCTAGATAGAAAATAAAACAAAGAAAACTTTGTTTCCATGATGACACCGGAGAAAAGGCTTGCCCACTTCCTCGAAGGAAGAAAAAAGTCCTTTTTTAAGATGCCACCTACGGTTTCATTTGCAGGGTATGACAATTACAACTCCTGTGCCCACGGGGAGTAAGAATAGAATTCGGCCCCAAAATGTACCACCTTATAAGGGGCAGTATGACATGGTGGTTTAGCTGACATGTTTATAACAACACCGAACAGTCTTTGTTAGAAATTAGTGAAGCATATAGGATGGTTTTTAAGAAGTATGTCTTGGGATATAAATGAGACTTAGTTCTGTAAAACTTCATTTTCAGCGGAGAGCCTCGGATGGTTCAACATAGTGATTCTCATTCTACAAAAGATAGGTGCATTTCTCATTTCGTTGTAAATGTTTTGGTAAAAAATAGCAAGTGCCTTCCTCACATCGTATTGGATTCAGAGTATAAGGACATAAACTCAGATTACTGGCAATCAACATAACACATCATAAGAGAAATTTAGAAAGAAAAACTTACGAATCTCGAACTATATATTTGACCAAAAATGCTTTGGAAAAATATTAGTTGTCCATGTTTAAGCATTTTAGATTGTTCTGTATAGTATATTTGGATAGGTTGAGTCTGAGAGTCCCAATAAACTAAACTCATTGGTCCTGCTGTTTGTTTCAAAATAAACTAAATTTTATTTAATTTTAGTTGACAACTCATTATCCTAAATTCAACAGTATATCTAGAACATAAATAGGCAAACAGTAACTAGTAGGCAAGTCATTTATCTTTTGGTTCAGATTGGTATGGTTAAAATTTGAAGTTTAGTATTTATTTGGAAGAAATAGCCTTTTCCCTCTTGGTTGACACCTGGTGGAAAATCTAGGTAAGGTACCTGGGACCTCGTGCCAGCTTTGATAACATATACTGCTTGTGTTTTTTCTCCCCCTAGTGGTAAAAGTAGTGAATTTGCTAGAATGTCAGCTTTTCCTCAGCATATGGTCAATAATATTTATTAGGCTTTCAAATATTGAATAAGGAATAAAGTTAAAAGTACAGTACACAGTGAGTACATAAGTTCATTACCAAATACATGTTTAAGTTATGGAGAGCTACTTTACAATGCTGAATTCTTACTAATTTTTTTCAAAGTAAAATGTAACCTGTGTCAGAAAAAATAAGAATTAGTATTTAATTACACTAGAATTACTTTGATAAAAAACAACCTTAATCAATTTTGTAGTTTAGAATTACTTTGATAAAAACAACCTTAATAAATTTTGTAGTTTGGAAAATTGTTTTAAGAAATTAATCATGCCTATTACTGGATAATTCACTATTTTCTGTGCTTGAAGCTTTTGTCTTTCATACTTATTTTGATACTTTTTCTTTATTTTTTTCCTGTTTCTTCTAAAACATTTTAGTAACTGAAAAGTTGCCAAGAAAATTTTATCTGTTGTCATTTGCGTGTAAGATCCTATTTATTTACCCTCATTATCACCTTTCTTTACTTTAGATTTGGTCATGTATGACTCTCAAGTGTCTAAACTTGAGTTATTTCCACTTTGTTTTCCTCCCTGTGTTTATTCAAACAATGTAAGCCCAAGAAACAAACAATTCTGGCACCTCTAAATGCCTGTTGATCTTTTCATTTCTAAAATAACAAAAAATAACATTTGGGCCCAATTTTGAATGTTTTCTCTCATGATTTTAAAAAGTCCCCCTTTTCCAGACTCCCTCTCTAAAGATCTACCCTTTAGACAGCTGGAAATGCTGTGCTGTAGCCATTCTCTAGGGTTTCTCAGCTTGCTTCATTGGGCCCTCATTGTATTTTGTATTAAATTTAAACTATTCATCTTTACCACCAAGGCTCTTTCCTACTGCATCCCAGCCTACATTACATATGCTATCTCCTCCTACTCATCTGCTAATTCTCTGTACTCCTGTCAAGTACGTCTTCTGTCCCCTTTGTTAGCTAGTCTTGCTGTTGCCAGTGTGCAGTTACATGCTGCTTTTTGTGCCCAGAACAACATCCCACTACTATGCTATCTCTTTTTCCTTCTTCTCCTCCTTCCAGTAGATTCAGTTGGTTCAACTGAATAAAATTCCCACTGGACAGAATAATTAGCTTTTCTTCTACTTTTCATGGCTTCTTCTGAGCTTAATTAGAAATCACTTTTTATGGTAGTTTCTTGATTTTGAATCAAAACCCTACTTTTATGGTTGAAAGTTTGAAACCAATCTCAAGAACTCTGTCAAAAACTCACAAATGATCATTGCTGTCAAGATATATAGTATTGAGGCAATATGTCAAAATTACTGCCAAGTCTGGAGTTCTTTACGTATTATAATACTGAACGGTATCTACCTACCTACCTGCCTACTTACCTACATATATAGCAAGCCATCTCAACAAAAAGATTTGGTGTTTGGTTGTAAGAAAAATCATACCAGTAGACAGAACTTGTTTCTTAAAAAAAATATGAAATACAGAATTAATCTTTATTTTTTATTAGTACCTGACAGACATGAGTGCTGTTGAACTAAGGTTTTTGTTGTTTGTTTTTAAGTCCTAGTTCTGGACTTCACGATTTTGAAGCTCTGACATGAACCCTTTAACATCATCAGAATGCAAAAAATTTGACTTTGGCATGGAGGCTAAAAAAAATAAAATGTTCAATAAAATTAGCAAAATGAATAAGTTTTAAAAAAATATTTGGGAGTTAAATATGTGTTTGTTACATTCTTCATACTTAATAGACATTTAAATATGTTGTAGATTTTGTGATAATATCCAGACCAAATCTGTCCTCTATTTTATGCAACTAAGAAATAATAATTTGTGTGATTATGAGTACCAGATAATCTGTTCTTTCTGACTAAAATAAAATCACTCATATCTTTATATCTACCAAGATATATTACTGTTAATATTTGGTTATTTCCATCTAGATGTGTAACTAAAAAATAAAAAAGCATTGCCAATTAAACTATAACTATACTTCTTATGCCACAGAAGATGAGTGGGTGAGGTTCATTCATTGGGTTCAAGTAGTATCTGGCCTGTGGCCTGCAAGAAGAAACAGAAATGTTAAATTTCTTTTACTAACTATTTTGTGATTTTTCAACCAAGTACAACTTTATATGTTTTTATTTTTTTGATAGACATCCGGCTTTAGTGGCAAAGTATAAACAAAATGAACTAGTTCCCAGTTTTTGACATCAAAGTTGTATTTGGAACTGGGGGTGGTG